AGTAGCTCATTTCTGTAATCCTAGCCATTGGGAAGTGGAGAGAGGGAGGATTGTGGTTTGAGACCAACTTAGGCAAAAAGTTCATGAGATCCCACTTCAACCAATAAAAGTTGGGAAGAGGGGTTGTGCACCTGTCATCCTACCTACACAGGAAGCATAAACAGGATCAAGGTCCTGGGTAGCCTGGACAAAAACAGCAAGACCCTTTTGAAAAATACCTAAATCAAAAAGGGTTGGGGGCATGCAACACCCTGAGTTCAAACCCCAATACCATTAAAAAAAAAAAAAAGGCAAGAAATTTACAGGTAACAGAGGAAGGGAAATAAGTAGCTGGGAGAACTTTTTTTTTTTTTACCACCCCCCCAACCCTTTTCAGTATTTTGGCTTTTGCACAACGTGCATGCTGTGTAGCAAGAAAAAAACGTTACAAGGAATTTGCACACTTGTCTGAGGCTATCAAACAATTTATAATTAATCTCCCATTGACTACAGAGCCTGTTATGAATTACACTGAATAAATAGATACACTGGGATGGACAGGACTCTTTTCACCCATACTAAATGACTCCAGGCTGCTGCGATGTGAATGCTGTCAATTTTAGTACCCTGTTTTCTCCCAGCTACTATCAATACTTTGTGGCTGACTCAAAAACTTCTCTTTAAATTGGTACTTCTAATTGTGGTGGGCTAACAAACCAGACACAAAGGTCTACAAAGGGAAACTGCTTCTGTGAGGGTGAAATGACACATCTCATGACTGGTGAATTCCACAGATGAGACTTTGTAACAACTATCTTGACTACTTGAGATTTTAGACACTTCCAAGTTCCATACAATTTAACAGAAGTAAAGCATTATGGAAGTCACTATCCACAGATCTACTATTTAATGATTGTTACACTGTTAATTACATATCTAGAATTTTCAGAATTGTTTTCATTCATTGACTCAAAAATATTTTTGAGCATTCAGTATGCACCAGGGGATATTCTACATGCCTGGCAATGAATGATACAATGGGCAAACTCCCTTAGAATTTGATATTCTAGTTGAAGAATATAAATTGGAAAGAGACAACAAAGAAAACAAAGTAGTTAAAAACAACAACAAAAAAGCAGGATATGGTAGTGAATAATGAGGGTGAGGAAGCAGCATTAAGTAAGTAGCATGGTTTATCAGTCAGGGTCTGATGAGAACCAAGGAACCACCAGGACATAACACTTCATTAATATTTAAAACAAGGTACATAACTATAGGGATTACAGGCTGTTTCTTTTGTGTCTGGCAGTTGGGAAGGGAAGATGACAAAAATGGGGGCAGCTAGGAGCACGACAGGAAGAGAAGAACCCATGAGATCTAGATGGAACTCGTGAGGATAGACTGGAATCCCATGCCAGTCTTACTTCTTCCAATAACCCAACCTGAACATGATGAGTGTTGTCCTCAGAAACTGGCCTCTGTCACAGAGTAAAATACACCCCTGGCCCAGGAGTCAGAGAAACCAAAGAAGACAATTCAGAAGTGGCATTCCTGCAAGGGCTGGCTATAGTCCCACATACCAAGAAAATGAGCCAACAGGTAAGCAACAGTGTCAGTGAGCTGCAGAAGTGTCTTGTGCCTCCCTTGGACCTTCCAATTATAAAAGGAATCTGGACTTTGCTCCTATTTTACTTTTGTCTTCTAAATCTCCTATGCAACATTTCTTAAGGCCCATGCCATGCTAGAATTACACAGTGAAGGGAATTTTGGAGAACTATCCCCAGCTTGTCTGAATTGGTACCATGTAAATCTACCAGATGGTCTGAGGTCTCTGAAAGATGCCTGAGCTGAGAACCAGGATGAGAAGGACTCTGCCATATCACCATGCCAAGATTTGGAAGAGAATATGTATCTCAGGCAGAGAAAATGTCTTGGTGCCAAGGCTTTGAGGCAGTGATATGAACCGGATATTCTTTGACGAAGAAGGTCATGAGGCTGGGTATGGTGGGCGGAAGACTGGTACAAAACAGGATCGCACAGAGGCAGGGGCCAGCTCTTATGGTTCCCTGCAGAGCATAGTAGTGCACGAGGACTTCTTTTCACTCAGTAGAATGGGAAGCAAATGGAGAGTTGTAGTAGTCGGATCTGATTTTTAGTTTATTTCAAACTTATAAAAAGAGTTGTAGGATTAACAAAAAGGATTCCTGTAGGCCCATTATCTAACTTCCTTTTAAAGAGACTGCTTTGGCTGGGTTGTAGAAAACAGCTACAGGGGAGTACTGCTTCTTCCTATATATACCTCCAGACCTTCCAGTACACCTGGAGCATAATGCTTGTGGAACTGTGCAGACTGCCCAGGTGTGGGAGTAGCAATACTGCTTAGAGGGCTTCAAGCTACTGTGCTTCCACACTAGGTTTTCAGGCCTCACAGGAAAAGCAATCTCATCATTTTAGTCTTAATTCATAAACTCACATTGGAAGAAAAAACTGTTATGACCTTCTTAGATCTGGTCCTCTAAGATCTGATGCCATAGAAGTAACAGAAGAGGATGCTTCACAAATAATTTCAGCATTTTTAGAGACTGTATAGTCTCCTAAAGGAAACGTGCCAAAATACCTATGTTCTGGGTTGACATACAGTTAACCTCAGACTCGCATATCTTCTATTTTCATCAAACGTGGCTTACTTTACTTGAGATCATGAAAAATTTCCCTAAAGCAAGCTCTTCTGCCTGGATTAACTCTCCCTGTTAGCAACACAGTCTGGCTGAAAGCCAGGTTCAAACACTGAAGTGTACTGAGTTCTTTTAGATATTCAAGTTCATTTTAGGATTTCAGCACAATTGCAGGTTTGATGTTCAAATCAACAGCCAAAATTAACATTCTCACTAAAAACATATGCACTTAATACATGCTCATTAAATCATAAAGGTAGAAAAACTAAAAGGTCAGTGACCTTTATGCTCTTCTAGTTGGTTAAATGGAGCTTGGTTATTGCAGTAGGACCTAGGAATAATGGAGGTAAAATGCCTAATTCATAGCAAGCATATGATGTCAATAAAAACAAACATCTTCATATTTTTAAGGGGAGTAAAGAAATGCATCTTAAAAAGGGAGAGTGTTCTGCAAACCATTTACCTTCTTTAAGAAAAAAATGTAAAACAGGCTAAAAAGCACTGTATGATAGAGGAAGTAGAAGTTTTATCTTTAATTAGCTTGTACTATACACTTATCTTTCTGTAATCTACGAATATGTTCTCCATGCAAATATTCAGAAAGAAAAAAAGAGAGGAGATATTATGTTATAATCTAGGAATATAAATTTTGTCCCCGATTACTAAATGAGGGCAATTTTATGTATTTATTAACAACCATTTTTCTTCATTTAACAATGGCTCTTGGGTAGCAAAATAAATTAGCAGCAATTTCATACATTAAAAACATAAAGTAAAAACACCTGTTAGTTTCATAAATGCATGCACAGCAATAAATTTCATACATGTTCATTGTATTACTACATTCTTTGTGTAAAGTAACACAAAGACTATTCCCTTGCCATTACTGCAGTTCACAAAATTTATGACAAGGTTTCACTTTTTTTTTTTTAGCTTAATTAACTACAAGTCAGTTGAACACAACAGACATTAACTGGTATTATTAATGAGTCATGGTAAAAGAAAAAGGTTATGACCACTTAGCAGAGCTTATAAAACTAAAACATACCTCAAACTTTCTAGTCTTAACCTGTAAGTCTCATTTATTGATTGATATACAAAGAACTATTAAGAGACGATTTAACCAGAAAGCTTAACTTTGTTACCTTGCCATTTTGCTAGTCACAAACATAGATATGTTGCCTTTAAAAACAAAGCAGAATACTATTAATTTCCAATGAGACTATGCACAAGGGAAAAACAAAGACAAAACCACAGATATTTTTAAGTTGTACTACATTACTTTGACTATTTAATTTAAAAGTTTAATTACCAGGTCATTGCACCATTTTTTGCTTAAAAAGTAATAAGCAGACAAAAATATTTTTAAATAAGCCAGAGGTAAAAATAAAAAGGACTCAACAACTTGACAAAGAGAATAATTCCAATGAGAAACGATTAAATGGAATACTCAGTCATTATTTTATACAGCAAGTATTTAAAACCATATAGCAATTATTTAATCAGGCACTTGATAGGGTATTTTTTTAACTAGCAGTCAATCTGGGGACTATACATACACACACACCCACACGCACACAAATATGGCTTTATTACAAAGGATTCAAGATGGCAACTACTTAGAATCCAGCGCCAATACGGATTATAACAAATCCAGTGAGTATTTTGTTTTTCAATTATTCATAGAAAATTTAATCCTGATTAAGTATCCTTGGGCAGGAATTCATGGGTAGTTGATGACTGAAACCAACATTTATGTGAAATGCTTCTGTTAATTTAATCTATGTATATGGCTTAATTATGATTGGGGATTCTCTCTAAGAGAAATGAATTATACCAGGATTAAAATTTTAGTACTGTATCACATAGCACTTTTTCCTTCTGTCTTTTTAAATACATAAACCTGCTACCCTCACCTAAGTGCTCAGGTTTTAAAATCCTTTGGACTTACCACCCATGTAATGTATCTAAATTATATTTTTCATAAATTGTCAAAAATCCTTTGCTAGTCAAGCTGAAATATGAACTAGAGCTAGATGAAAGAAAAAAATGGGGGAAAACATTATTTATGAATAAACAAAAGCTTATTCATTTAACTGTGAACATATTTTATGTTTCCTGAAGTAATTTCAATTTCTTTAAATGCTAATCTGAAATGCACTTTCTTTAAAGCATAAAAAATCAGTGTATAATACTGATTTCATAGCTGGACTAGTTTAGATAAGTATAAACAAAAAATCATTTAACTGATTACTATTTAAAGGACTATCAAACCTGAGTTAGCTATCAATGCTATTGATATGAGGCATTGAAAATGATGACTATCTTACCAAATTATCCTAAGTCTTTTTCACATTTATTTCTATACGGAAATTGCTTCAATCACCTTATAACAGCACTCTCTCTTGAAAGTTTATTAAGCATGTTTCAAAACAGCTCACTTATTACCTTTTTTTTGGGTTTTGGTACTGCTTAAATGCAGTTATTTAAATAACATACTCTGTTTTTTACTGCTCAATATTTCACACCAAATGTATGAAAAGATCCTTATTGCACTCTTTTATCCAATTAATTTTTCTTTCAACAAAAATCAAGTATCAGAAATGAGGACGACTTTTGTGTCCAGATGATATGGTAAGTGGTAGTGTTACTGAGGAAAGTGAAGAAACTTCCCAGTATAGACTGTGGGATAGGAAGAGTCTATAGAGAATAACCATGGAAACAGACTGGCAAAGGATAACACCTATGGTAATGACCTGCAAAGAAAAGAAAGGGAATACTTTCACTATATGCAGAGACAGAGAAATCTTATTCAATTTATCATGAACCTATATTCTATACAAAATACTCTATCCTTCATCTTCATCATGGGTACATTTTATCAAAAAGTTTTTCAGTAGTAAAACATACGACTTACGTTCAGAACTTAATTGTTCAAAAGTAAAATATCTTTAACAGTTAGTTTATAGATGCCAATGTAAGACACAAAAGAATAACTTGCACAACATTCTCTCCTAGGGGTGTGCATACTAGACTGGAGTTTTAGTACGTCATGAGAAAAAAATCAGGTCCCTGGCTAACTTAGCAGTAGGAATAAAGCATGCTCCTATCCAAATGTTAAAGAGTACTCTACAAGTCCTTTTAAAAATTTTCAAGGTGCTTCTCTATTTCTATAGACTACCCTCCTATTTACTTGCCCTTTGTAAATAAAGGCTCAATCAACATTTATGCATTCAAGCACATACTGCATTGTTTGTAAAGGGCTCCTGGCAGATCTCCACTTTGAAATGATAGCCATTCCCCTAAGAAAGCAGGTATCAAGGCAGGTATCAGCACAATCAAAGTTCAGCATATTCCAGTCTGTAGTCTATAAAAGCAACTAGATTGACTTGACTTTTATAAATACTGATTTTTCTTTCTTTCTTCTTTTTTTTTAAAGCAGGACTGGGGTTTGAAATCAGGGCCTTATGCTTGCTGGGCAGAAGCTCTTACTGCTTGAGTCACTCTGCCGTCCCATAAATATTGATTTTTACCGTTATATAGCAAACAACTTTAATTATTTTTTAAGAAAGATGTATTATAAATCCTATACTTTAATTCATAATTTTAAAAGTTCCTTTATATTTTTTATAACTTCTAATTTATATCTTACCAGTTCAATATTGTGTTTCAAAGTTTTAAAGAACTCAAACTTCTGAATGGATAAGTAGGACCCTTCTACCTTAACATTTTCATAATAAAGACTATATTTCCATTAAAAATTATTTAGATAATGTATATTACTTACTTTATCTCTTTGGTAGTCACTAAAAATGATAGAAATGCATGCAAGACCTGGATGGCATAAAAACCACAAGATACAGCCCTGAAAGAAATGAGTAAGTCAAATAAATACAGCTGTGTCTTTATCTTCAGAATTTACCAAATTAAAAAAACAAACATTACTAGCATATTTAGGTTGTGACTGGCCTCAAGTAAAGTTCAGAGTAGAGCTTGAAATAAACTGTAAAAATAAACTTGCTGTAACATTACTTTGTTACTAACCAAGTAAGTATTTCTTAGGGTATTTGTATTTATAAATCTGTTACATACACATATTTTGATATTCTACAACTGCATTCATAACAAATTAGCAATTTAGGAAAGCATGGTACAAAAGTATATTATTTCTGTGAAAAGAAATAAAATGAAAATTCACATTTGCATGTAGATATACTATTAAATTCTATAAAAATACACAAAAAATTAATAATAGCTACCTATTTGAAGGGTAATACACAGGGGAACTGGGCAAGTAAGTATGGGAAACTATTTGTATTATCCTTTTCATATGCCTTTTTCTATTTTTCTGTGAACTGTAGTAACATACTCTCTTTTCCAAAATTAAATTTGAAACAAGTTAATAAATAGTAGGTGTTGTGATGCTTTGTGTACACTGAAAATTTAGGGTAAAAAAAGAGTATGACACTACTTGTATAAAAAACGGAGGGAAATATATGTAGGAATACATATTTATAATTCTCCACTAGGATAAATTAGGAATAATAGTAGTGATTATATGAGGAAGTGATAATCACTAAATAGGAGAGAAAAAGCACTTTTTGCTACTCTTTAAATATTTTTGGATGCTTGACTCTACTCAAACTTTTATGTTATAAAAGTCTGTTATAACATATAACAAACTTATATGTTATAAAATATATAAAAATGTTTTTAAATCAAGGAAAAACACTTGGTACTGTTTTAAACATAAAAGAGGGAAATCTAGTATCTAAACATTACCAAACAATAAGCACTCCTATCCCTGTGAAAAATTCAAAAATCAAATGGCACTTTCTAGTCCACTTGGTGCTCAGAGCCTCAATTTGGCTCCTAGAACAGCAGCAGCTTTGCGAAGTTGCAGCTCTGCATAACTGTGAGAGTAACAGTTCAGAGTCAATTAACAACTGTTGAGAAATTGCAAACTGTATTCTCATTTGTTAAAAAATATTATCATAGAAAAAAATGTAAAGTCACCACTGGCTAAAGAAATGATGATGGAAGGAAAACTGACCTACTAAAAACTACATGAAGGTGTGAAGATTAAATGAGTAAAGTAAATGAAGTGCTCAGAGCAGTGCCTGTCACACAATGAAAGTTCAACACGAGTTAGCACGTGGTCATTTACTGACTTCCCACACAAACCCAGAAGGATGCTGATAGAAGAAGCCACTTTCTATCCCAACTCATACTTTGGCAAATGTGATGTAGAACTCTCTTTTGAGTGTGCTCCTCTCCACAATGATGATCTGATAGAGTCCACAGCCCAATGACACTGCTAGGCATATTCTTAAGATGATCAGCAGGATCCCTGCTAAGTTGTGGTGTGAATGGGAGCTGTGATGGCTGGTATCTTCAAACTGTTCCCAAAGTAGCAGAATACTCTGCAAATAAATTAATAAATAAAATTATATATATATATATATATTTGGAAACATGATACCTATTTACAATAAAGTACTCTTTTCAACTGTTTTGTAAATATCCCCTTAAATTTTATATAAACATTCCTAAGAGGTGCTATTTATCAGGCTATAAAGGTTGTTAATTAATAAAATTCAGGTAGTCTTTTCCTTGCTCTGATAACCCTAAACTAGAGGAAAAAGGGTTTTGTATCAAGTGAGACATAGTAAACAAGTAAACAAACAAAAACCTGCTACTGCTATCATGATTCAAATATGGTATCTCAAAGAACAAAAATACACTGAAAAGGTTTAGGTAATAAATGTAAACTTTCTTCTAAATCCTTCTCCTTCTTACTTCAATACCACCATTAGGAATCAAGCTTCTGCATTCCATCTTACTATCTCAAGGTAACTTTCAAATATCTAAGAATTTTTGTAATCCAGATAGTAGCAAGTCAGAATTGGTGATTTCAGACTTCATGAACCTCCCTAGGTAAACAAAAGCATGTTTTTAATATTTGCTGTGAGCTCCCAGGGCACTGCTATACATCCCTATTTGCTCTCATTTTCTCTCCCATGCTTACTGTAACTTAAGCTCAGCAAGTTCTCATTATGCTGCTCTGTTTATTGTTATCCATATTCCCTCTGTCCTTACCAAACATCAATTGCTTAAATTACTGGTTTTCATCAAACATGCCTTTGGGCTTCCTTTATTTGTCAACTCAGCTCTTGGAAGTGAGTCTTCATTAACTCCCAAAGATTTCAGGTAAAAACTCATTACTAAATCCAATTTTAGGCTTTATGGTGTTTACCAGCAACCTCTTCCCTTCTTCATTCTCACATCTTCTACCCTACTTTTACTCCTGTTAGCATTCTTAATAGATGAATCCCCTTGTCATCCTGCATGTGAAATTTCCTTCTTGGGATTGAAATTTGCTCTTTAAATTATTAAAAGTGTCATTCCTCCCCTCCACTGAATTACACCTATCTGGTTCCCTACATTTCTAACTTTAACTTTTACAATAGAAGTACAATTATAGGCTGGGTGCCGGTGGCTCATGCCTATAATCATAGATACTCAGGAGCAGAGATCAGGAGGATTGAGGCCGGAAGCCAGTCTCAACAACTGGTTCACAAGACCCTATCTTGAAAAAATCCAACACAAGAAAAAGGTTAGTAGAGTGGCTCAAGTGGTAGAATGCCTGTCTAGCAAGTGTGAGGCCCTGAGTTCAAACCCCAGTACTGCCGAGGGGAAAAAAAGAGAAGTACTATTATAGAACTACCACTCACATTTTTTCACATTTTTATTATTTGCATATACATGTGGTAAGTGTGATCTGCATTATATATAAATATACATATACACACATGTATTTATGTAGTCTTTGATTGCCTACCTCATCAGCATTGTCTGGCTGTTGAATGGGGCTATGACTATAAGGCACTCTTCTTAAAAGCTCATTAAGTTCTAGAGCAGTGTCAATCTTAATTCTCAGTTTGCATTTGTCTATGCTAATAAATTAAAATTATAATGAAATGATGATGAAAATTGAGAAATGAGAATTTAAGCTGATATTAACACTACTCTCTGTAAGTCCTAGATCAAAAACATTAAGTTGGTTAGAAGCTTGCCTTTATTTTAATCAGTTCTAGGTCAATTCTTTCTCATTAGCCCCTTTCCTGGCTCTATGTACTTTAAATGTCACCCTTAAGACGCAGTCTTATTCTCTAATCAGCCGTGTAAATTCAGTATTCCTCCTTTGCTCAGTACCTACTGTACTAAATACTTGGGGGGAGGGGAAATGAGTGAACCACCTTTCATTAATGAATGTTTTAATTTGTCTAATTCATCAAAGCTTACATAATAATGTTCTTTATAGAGCCAAAGTACATCTTTCACTATCATCTATAGCTAGTGCTGGTCACAAACTCAGGGTAAATTGTTGTTTGTGCCTTTTTTGTTCCTAATTTTACAAATCCAGCTGTCTCAGAACAATGCCAATGCTACCACTGCTGAGGAAGAGGAGCAAAAAGGCCTTGAGGCCTTTCTAAAGGACCAGATCTATTTTTGAACTTGTTTTCAGAGACAAGATTTCATTTTTCTTTATTCCACATTTTGTCTGTTAACTAATCCCAGATATTACTTGAATACTTTTATGCATAAAAGTAGCCAACTCTACAGATCCTTGAGGAAGGATGAAACCTCAAATTTACTGATACATTCATTCAATGTTAAGTACTTACCATGTGATACAAAATATGAAAGAAAGCTATTATTAAGTGGGCAATACTGTACTTAAAAAAGCCAGTAGAAGTTCAAGTCAGGTAAGTTACAATTAAATTTTTCAAACTGTATATGTTAGCATCCAGAAGACTAGTAGGTTATTGGATCTATCATTTTTTAAATCCACACTTCATAATGACACAAATTCCTCAGGGACCCTGAAGTCCAATTTGGGAATGAGCTATGTTCAAGTTTGCATTTCCAAATACTGTTAAGCAGAAAGACTATCAATGCTCACCTGTGTAATGACAATGAATACTGCAATGCCAGTGGATGCAGGGGTGGAATCCCACTGGAGAGGTCTGCTCTGAGACTTCTTCATTCTGACTATTGTCCAACCCATGCATAGACTCAGAAGCAGGTATAACATCTGAATTTGGGAAGTAATATCAAAAACTAAAGGGAAATGAAAATCAATATCAACTAAGTTTTCATAATGCACATAATCTGATACATTTCATATTGGGATGAGAATACCATTTTTTTTTTGCCACAAAGATACATTTTCAAAGAAAAGACATTCATGTATTATAAAGAATTGAAAATTTGCCATAAAATTTCTAACTCTTTACAGAAAGTTAAAACAGTGGCGATACTCTTGTTTTAAATTATATATAATGCCCATATTGTACCTGTATTAATCAGACCACAAAAGTACCCATATTTCCCTTTTTTCTTAGCTCTTATAACTATATATATTCCTGATTAAAAGAAACCAAATTTAAACATAATTTCTGCAATGCTTGGTAAATAGTATCTTTTCTGGGTTGTTAAATTTTTGATGGCTGAACTATAACATGAAGAATATTTTCTAAAACTATTAATGAGAAACAATACGATGTTAAAGTGCATAGCCACTGCAACATCCAATGATGGCTTCAGAGACCAGTCGACAATGAAAATGTCCATGAATTAGCCCGATGTGCCACCAGGTGGCCACCACTTACACTGCAGGGGAAGCCTGCTGCTTTAAAAAGAATGCAACAAAGCTACCTGTATCTAGTTCTGTACCAGAAGCTAACAAAAATCTATAAATGCTTCAAGTTCCATGCATATTTCATAAGCTGGCAGCTACTGATTTTCAAAAAAGCTATCACCTTTTTATCATAGTGTACTTTGGAATAAACTTGTGATCACAATTTGACAAACTGCCACCCAGAACTTTGATGTTTACTACTTTTACTTCTTTCATATAATGATATTCTTACAGAGACAGAGAAAAGTAGCTATAACATATAATGCTTATGTTTTAAAGTTGCAAGCCAAAAATCTATTAATGATACATCTTTTCAGATATATTTGACAGATGTTCCCCTGCTCTGACATCTAAATTAAAACTGACTACTCTACATTTATGCTTATATATCTGTGGTACTGAATGTCAATAATAAATTGTCACTACACTTGAGAAATATAAAATGTCACAGTCTGTCAGACCAAGCACACTTTTCTATCATCACAGATTTTTTTTTTCATTTTTCTTTTATTATTCATATGTGCATACAAGGCTTGGTTCATTTCTCCCCCCTGCCCCCACCCCCTCCCTTACCACCCACTCCACCCCCTCCTGCTCCCCCCACTCAATACCCAGCAGAAACTATTTTGCCCTTATCTCTAATTTTGTTGTAGAGAGAGTATAAGCAATAATAGGAAGGAACAAGGGGTTTTGCTGGTTGAGATAAGGATAGCTATACAGGGCATTGACTCACATTGATTTCCTGTCATCACAGATTTTTAAGTGACTGTGATTACAATTAATTTTATTAACATTTCACAATACATATTCAGTTACTAGATAAAGAAGTTGGATGAAGGAATATTCCTACCTAAGTTGCTAAGTAGCAAAAATGAATACCTGGGAAAACCCCTTTACTTTTTTAATTCATTTCTTTATGTACTAAGTAATATACAGATCCATATAATACTATTACTGAGTAGGTAAGAACACTGTTCATTTGTTGCCAAAAAATAACTGTAGATAAAATTCAGAAACTTTTGAATTTTAATCATTAATTAACCAAGTCTTTTGTTGTGGGAACTATTGAAAATTAGCAATTTACTGCGGTTAAAAAACACACACACACATACAAAAATGTTTGCACTTGGCATGGTAGTGCAGAGGCAGGAGGAAAAGTGAGTTCAAGGTCAGCCTGAGCTACAAAGTGAAACCATCTCTAAAGCCCAAAGGCTGGGGATAGAGTACAGTGGTAGAGCACTTGCTTAGCATAAGCAAGACCCTGGGGTTTGATCCCCAGCACCACAAAGCTTGTGTTGTTGTTTTTTTTACTTTCAGTGAAAATCTAGACAGCCCAAAACACTGTTCCATAGACAGCAGACACTCACAAATATTCAACAGTCCTTATTTTAGTAATGGCTTTGCCACTACCTAGCTCTGTGTGCTTTGTCTCTTTGGATGCCAATTTCCTCATCTAGGATGCATATGCTAAATTATTTCTAAGGTTCTATCCAGCCTTTAACCTTCTATGATTCTATTAAACATACCAAAGATATCCAAAAAAGAAAAGAGAGGAAGAATCAGGGCTCTAGACAACATTCAGAATATAAGCTCCTCTTGTTCATGTCCAAGAGGTGAACTGTACATGTTCTCTTCACAAATAAAATGTCCTAAATTTCAGAATCTTAAAACAAGTCACAAGTTCTGGATGAGTTAGTCCTATGATGATTGATGGCAATTACCGTGAAACAACCTATTACAGTATGATGAGACTAAAAGAGAAATATGGAAATAGAAGAGCAAATCCTAGAGTGATTTCATATTCAAAATATGCTTTTTAGAGCAAATTTTAATAGCTTTCCAGGATTAAGAATAACTTATGACTTGATGTCCCTCTGAAGTTCTCTTTAAGATATCATGATTACAAGACCTTTTAAATGTTTTTTTCCTATTTTCCTTAATTGAAAAATTACTTAAGAGCTTCTCATATCAATAAAAGAACAAAGATATGAGGTCAGCTCAATTATAGGTATACATATGGCCTTGGGTAGAAACATAGAAAAAGAGCCATTAAAACAGAAAATGGAATTACAATAGGAAAAAACTTTCAGCTTTGGAACTGGACAACTTGGTTCTGAGTCTTGCTTACACTGCTCAACAGATGACTGACATTTGGAAAAGTGCTGCATGTTACTGAGCCCAGATTCTTTACCTGCAAAATAGTGACAAATATACCTACTTTTTATAGAGGATACAATTATACATATAGGTAAGACAGAAAGACACTTAAAACATCATGAAGAACTATGCCTACTATCTATTAAGAAGACACTAAATAAGACATCTGAGGACTAAATCTGTAACACTGTTTCCAGTTCAGCTGATTTCTAACCAATCTCATACAGAAAAATTGTAATATGACAAAAAATAATTTACTTATTTATTTTGTTTTACAGTACTGGGGATCAAACCAAGGGCCTCATGAATGCTAGGCAAGCATTCTGTCACTGAGCTACACCCCCAGCCCCAAAATAAACAAGCCAAAAAGAAAAAGCAAGCAGATGACAAGTTTATCTTTAAAAAACAATGCTCAGAAAGGTACTCACATTCTGCCAAACTTCCCATAAAAGGTACTCCTATCCCATCTTTGGAGTACCTGGGGAATTGCAAAGAAGAGCATTAGTGTAAATTACACATATGGAAAAAATGTGTTCATAATCAAAGCAAGCATAATTTTGGTGGACTAATTAGGATTAATTAGATGTAATGATGAACACAGTTTTAGTGGTTTTGAGTTACCTGGAGAAATGAATGTAATTAGCTAAAGCTGAACCAGCTTGTAACAGCAATGCAGTTGTCAGAACTTTTAAAATCATGTGCATGGGTCCTCCTTTCTTAATAGCCTGCCACAATGACTGAGCATAAATGCAAGCAATCACAAAGTACACTAGTACTAGGAGGAAAAAGAACTCATGTAACCCTGTGAAGAGAAGAAAGGGAGTTGGCTTCAGTAAAACAAAACCAGAATAGTGTTGGCCTGCTTTCAAATCTTCTTAATATTTCTAGTAATGTTATTTATTTATTTATCTATTTATTTTATTTTTGAGACAGTCTTGCTATGTGTAGCCCAGCCTGAAATCCTTCTGCTGCTGTCTCCCAAGTTAGTGCTAGGATTACAGACATGCACTAGCATGCCTAGCTAGAACTTATTTTTTTAATTGGAATCATTGCATTCACTTTTTTAAGAAAAAAGGATGGAAACTATTTTAAAAAATTGTTTCTAATTTGGGACAAAATTTTAACCATAAGAAGGCAGATTAAATAAAACTAGTTCAAGTCAACCTGTTAAAAAAACAAAAAACAAAAAAAAAATACTAGTCAAAGAAGGCCAAAAACTCACCATAAAATCAATTTTGTTTGAAAACAATGACTTTAGCATTCAGTTAGATATAGTCTTTACTCTCCAAGTGGACTTCTTTTATAAGTAGTTTAGAAATAGATTTATTTAGTCAATAGTAGTTTACTATACCTTAACAATGCTTCTCCAAGGTGGTTCCTGAGTCAGCAGCATCACCAGACAAGTTGTGATAAATGAAAACTCTTAAGCCCACCTGAGATCTACTGAGTCAGAAACTCTGAAGGTGGAGTCCAGCGATCTGTTTTAGTAAGCCCAAGGGTAATTCTTATATAACTAACACATGACAATCACAGCCCTGGAATGTTTCACTCTACCTTGAATTTCCATTTGAGGAAAATCATAAAATACCTGTCATGTCCAGAGACCCCTTTCAGGTAAACTTTCTGCAGCTCTTGCAAAAAAGAAATTCTGTGGAGATCAGGTAACTCCCCTCTACAGATGACTAAAATTATGGCACCAAACAAATGGTCACCAACCCAAGTGGTCAACGACTCAACTTGGTTCTCAAAGGTAAGTTAGGTAAATTGTATTCTCTCTGGAATTCAAACATATGGAAAGAAAGTAGCCCACAGAAGTTGAAGTTGAAAGGAGTTGATGTTGGGACAGACAAGGAGTCAAACTACGCCATGATGAAATAAAAGTTTTGAGTGAGCAGAAATTATGAGCAAAGGGGGCTGGTTGGTAAAGAACAAAGTTAAGAATGTGTAGATTTTATACTGAAAATGGTGCCAGTCATTAGTTTCCTACCATCTAGCTCTTCTGATAAGATTTCATATAATCTCATAACAAACACCATTTTTTTCCATGTTACATAGAATCTTTTGACTGGGTTTTATTTTTGAGAAATTTAAAATTTTCAAATAAGTCAGAAGGCTTATTATAAGTCTTTGAGTTTTATGGCTTAGAGTTTAAAGTCTTGTATTTATTTACCTCCTTGGATGCCAAGATTCATGGATATTCAAGTCTCTTAAATAAAAAGGCATAATATTTTTATATAGCATATCCTCCTATACATACTAAATCATCTCTAGATTACTTACAAAACCTAAAACAATATAAATGCTATTCCCAGTATTATCTAGAGAATACTGACAAGAAAAATAAATGTCTGCATGTTTTCAAAACAGATGCACTATTTTGAAAAGTTCTTTGAGTTTGTGATTGGGTGCATCTGTTGATATGGAATCCATGGATATGGGGGGCCAATTTGTGCTAGGTTACATATTACAGCTTTTACATGCTAACACCAAAGTGTAATGACAATGACTGTGAATAGAACTGTCTCTATGCACTCTGTGGATAAATAGTCTAAATTGTAATCACTCCCATTCCAAATGTGAGTACTGAGACTGCTTAAATTCCCCATTTGGGGTAAACCTTAATTAATAAGCAGAAAAAGGAACACTGATACTATGTAGAAAGCAATTTTAGAAATGCAATCAGAAACATATATAACAGGAAAAATCTCATAAATTTTACCTAAATCTTTTTGTTTGGACATAGGAAAAAAAAGCAGCAAGAAGTTTTATAGCCACTGGGTGTCTCTCCTGCTCCATCTATACATACTCATGCAGTTAAAAAAGTATGGACAGACCTCAGGAAGAGATGATCAAATAATAGAAGGGCCATACCTTTTTAAAACTTTTTAAACTCCTTACATAAAAAGAGATTGGCAGCTTTAGAAATGGGAACCATAATCTTTTTGGGTTATTATAGTACTGGAATAAGATAAAGAATACAAA